AGAATGCGATATAAACAAGTGGAATATAATTTAAAAAACTTAAAAACCCGACTGCGTTTCTGTGTAATTTTTTATTCTGATATGTTATAAAAAAAATTGATACACCCAGTGTCACTTTCACATTAAATACGAATCTAACGACACCTCTCAAGCTAATCCATCAAGCCGTTCAGGCTGCAGAGCATACCAGACAATTATACATACATACATACTCTCGAAAAACATATCCCTCCTTCTGGCACAGTCGGGTAAAGAGGCCAGGTGTCTTTCCCAGACCGTTGCTCTTCAGGTCAGCGTACCTAGACTTGGTCTCCATACAACAAGAGTACTCCAACAGTGGTCACATCCGTGGGAAGCGCGCTTAGAACGTCACAGACATAAACGACAGTTTCAATTTCATTTCAGGTAAGTAGAAACTGTATAACCGCCGCTGCACTAATAATTGGGTAACTGGCTGAACACACAAAATACAACTCGATACGTTAAATATAACCTGTGCTCTGTTTTAACGGGAACGAAGCCGTTTGTTCTACGCACGCAGGATTCGGGGCACAATTTGCTGTCTCGAATACATTTCACGCGCGAGTGTCCCTCAAGCCGAAAGCCGCGCGGCTCGCTGGCGGAGTTTCAACCGTGTGCCGTCCGAAAAAGGTCGATAATCGCCGGGCGCGATGACGGAATTTCGGATGAAGAAATAATAATATACGCTTAGAAGTGAGAAATTTCATTTGAGACGAATCCGCGACTCCCTCCTGGCTCCCTTGAGACACCACCGTTGATTTATCTCGGAGGTATTTTGCCGTATTTTTTTATCACTCCGTTTTCTTTTTCTTATATGAATCGAGGTTCGAATATAACTATGAACTGACGAAATATAGTTGCCAATCATAATTCTTTGAATGACTGGTACTGACGAGGACGTTGGTAAACTTTTTATACTATTAAGCAATTTTGCCAATCGATGAAACTATTGTTGGTAAACAAAATCGCATTTATTTTAAGCTGGAATTGACGACGTTTCGAATGCTTTGCAGCGTTCATGGTTACAGGGCAGACTGATGCGTAAGAAAGAAGTTTCAAGAATTGCCACAGCACAGGAGTCATAAAGATTGAAGCTAATACGGCAAAATTTTTGTTGAGTCCATTAATTACTCTGTTCATCAACTCCCATCTTTTAAAATTTATTACGTTTATTTCTTTAATTAATATGTTTAACTTTTATCCACGAAATCACTAGCTTTTGGAAATTCGTTTATGCGGTTCATCAACACGGGAAACAAACAGGAAAGAATTGAAAGCGAAGGCTAATGTACACTATACTTTAAGAGGTTATATCTCAATAATGTTCTGCAAAATATATCATTACACGCCTAAACCACATTATAACTTGTCAATGGGGTTTAATAACGTTAATGCACAGCAAATTTTACTATGCCGCTAAGCTTACGATACATATTTTATTACAATTTATGGACACCCTAAACTATAGCTGTGGGCGAAATTTCGACGCTAAATCATTTTAAGCCCAACGCAAAGCGCTCTAAATAATTTGTAATAACACGGCAACCGATATTCAAACCAAATACTGTTAACGCTTTTAATGAACTAAAATATCGTACCCCATTGTTTTTTATCCTTTTAGTTTATGCATATCAACATATGCATACAAAAGTGTGCAGCCGTAAGCAGTAAATCACAGTTCCAAATCCCTCCAGAATGGCGTTAGAGTAGCAAGAGAATATGATTATTTCCCTTGCAGCAATGAATATTAGTAAGTCGAAGCCATGTAAACTATTATTTCACCACCATGGTCTAATACCCACATACTACAGTAACGCCACCAACTTAACCCCTTTCAGTAACCACATTTTATACACACCGTTAACTATTCCTGTCTTCCATGGTTTAGTAGAGTCGGAATCAAGTAGTACGTAAAAAGATACAGGTACGCAGAGCATTTAATAGAAAGAAAGCAAAGACGTGTTTTAGGATTTGGGATGAGGAACATTATTTAGTACAAGATCTTGACTATAATTTTGTATTTAACACCGTTTCTTTACGTGTGGAAGTGAATAGTAAGATAGAGAATCATCATCATCATCATTTCTGCCTGTTTGTTTACACTGCTGAACATGGGCCACCCCATAGACTGCCACGAAGTATGATCCTGAGTCACCTGCATCCATGGACTTCCCGCACATTTGCTAAGGTCGTCACTCAGGGGGGTCGGCCTACAAAGCGATGGCCAGTACTATGGCTGCTACTCAAAATAAGATAGAGAGTAAACACAGAAATATACGTGTTTATGTAATGGTATAAGGATACATACACGTATATCGACATGGTAGCATAGTGAATATAATCACATGATAATAACAAACAATGACTGATCAGATTTCAAATAAATTATTTTTATTATATTTGTTATCTCTTCCGCGATTTCAGTAGGACTGTGAGTCACAACTTTATCATGGATTATACTAATTTTATTAAAGAACTGATAATAAGTATAATTAGATTAATTATCAAGATCAGGCACAACGTGTTTCATTTATAGATTTAGTAAGTTTGAATAACGTGTTTGCAACCGCGGTGGTCGAAATTAATCTATTGTTATAGTCACACCGATGTTGTGCATGCGATAATGTACGTGACGTTTATTTTGTTAACGTGGGGTTAGTTAAGTCCTAGTGAAGTAGTTGTTTTTAAGAAATTTTAATTAAACACCAAACATAATAGCTGCATACAATTTACAATTGGGTAACAACCAGATATGACCTTCAGTACAAGGAACATTGTTCACCAAATTGATATACTTTTAATCTAATTAGGTGTGTTATCCGAGTTATGTTGGAGATATTTAACTAATAATTCTCACCGAATGGCATTTCTATTAAATAATCTGGAAAGTATTTTAAAGATAAACTGATAATCTAATAGAAACCGTGGTAAGCTCAAACATAAGTAAAAATTTTATGCCAATTCCAAAAACTCTAACAGTTAGATTAATACATCGATCGTTAATACTTCGATGACAACAAGGAAAAACTTTGTTTAATGTATACTGATAATCAAATTCCAATTTATCTAAGCGAAGAATGACAAATGGAAGGTTCTAGCAATATTAATAATTAACAAACAGTCTAAGACTATTAGTGAAATCAGAATAACTTGGTAGTAGTCGGCTTATATAGGCATAGCATCGTATTTGAAAATGAAAATGAAAATGAAAATACGCTTTATTGTACACCAGACAAAATTACAAAAGAAACAAACAACTAGATAAAGGTACAATTGGCGGCCTTATCGCTTAGAAGCGATTTCTTCCAGGCAACCATGTTACTGAGGATACAATGATCAGTGAGAAGAGTTTGAGGTATACGCTATTGTAAATATAGCTATTATAGATATATGTACACAACACTACTATACACAAATAAATGAATAAAATATATATATATATATATATATATATATATTTATATATACAATATAAACAGAAGGGAACGATAAGTGGACAAAAGCCATTTAACGGAAATTTATTTATAAATAAATTATCAGTAAAATAAAAAGAAAAAATCATAACATAGAGATAAGATGTTCAGGGAGGAAAAAAGTGAGCTTTAACGAGTCTTTTAAATATTGCCAGTGATTGCGCTCGCCGGATTTGAAGCGGTAAGGAGTTCCAAAGCCTGACCGCTTCGACAGAAAAGGATTTGGAGTAGAAGGAAGTATTATGGGAGGGAATTTTTAAGGTCAGGTTATTATCGTATTTATATCCAGCTGCTGGGCAAAGGCCTCCTCTGTACAAATAATATTATGGCATACTCCACCACGCGACCCCACTGTGGATTGGCGGACTCCATTTATCTTAGAATTTTTATTTTTTAGTAACTATTTAGAGAATATGCAGCTTTCACCGCTGAGCACCTGATAAGTGAACACTTAGAATCAACAAACTGTGTTAGCACCGTAGATTAAAGTTAGATTGTTCACGTATACTTAATTAAAAGTGAGCGCCCAGACTCTGTGTTAGATTCCTTTTATCACTTCAATTTTTTTTAAGTTCTATGCGAGAAAATGTTCCTCATTTTCAGAAACCATGGATCAACGTACGGTTGGTTGGTTTCAATCCTAATTAATTGTAACGATCTGTTACCGTATCAGCGCTACTAAAACTGCAGACTTGCCACTGCTATTAAACATTTAGGAGTTATACCTATCTAATTTGGTAAAAATGTAAAATCAAAGCATTTGGTTGATATATGGAGTCCCCTAACTCACATCGGCGAAACGTGGATTAGCTTCCCGGGGGAAAATTTGCTTTGAAGTTTTCCCCTAATATATGTACTTTCAACAAAATATTTTCGTAACACGTATATTGAAATTTAGCGATAAAGGAGAACATTCGCACGTCGAAGGGGATAAACTCCTTGCCTTTTGTTGGGGACAGGGAAACTTTTTCTATACGAAATTGGTCCTTTACAAGGAACATGAAAAGACTTAATTTCGTATAGACATATATATAATCCCTCGAAAATCTGATTGTATATTGAAGAGCTTTGCAATAGTGATTTTTTTCCTGACAACGATTTTTTCTGTTAATTATTTTCAATTATATTCTGTTAATTATGTCAATTTAATTATTTCGTTTAGTAGCTTTCTTTTATCCGGTGTTAAGTGATAACCGCCGCCCAGGCCCAACATTTGCAACAACCGTAGAGGTTGTGAGAGAAATGTGTTGCCACCTTACATTAAACTGGTCCTCGAGATTTAGCCTCCTCATTAGCGTAGACAGTCAATATGAAGTAATTGCACAATTAGGAAAGTATAAAATAGTATAGGTGTATATACTTATAATTTTAAACTGCACTATTTATAGTTAACTGTAACGTTTTAATTATTAAGACTTAAATGATATATTAATGGTCCTAACCCCATCATTATCGTAGAATTCACATTTATTTCACAACGGTAAAAATAATTACTTTTATTTTTCATTTCTCCAAAAATTCCTCTTCGCTGATTTTGTTCTGTTCTGCGTCTGTGAATAAATATAATTAATTTAGTTTTTTTTAATTAATCTTATTTTAGACAATTTTTGAAGTACCACGACCCCACCATGACTTCTGCGTTTCATTCGATAAGTTATGTAGCCGGAGCCCATTATATTACAAGGTAGCAACGCATCTTTACTTAGGTGTTGTAAATGATCATGGGCGGCGGTTATCACTTAGCATCACTATCAGAAAACCGCTAAGTCCGTTGGCACCTTCTTGTTTGATTCTTATAATGACTTTTACAGATATTTTACTAGCTGCTGCCTGCGACTACGTCTGCGTTGAATAGGCTATTGGCGTAACAATCAGACAGAAAGACAGATATACATAACAATACGTTTATAAATTATTAGCCTATTTATGTATATTAATGTAAAGTTTCGTTAAAATCCATTCAGTAGTATTTGCGTGAAAGAGTAACAAACATCCATCCATACATACAAACTTTCACCTTTATTATATTAGTAAGGATTTGTTAATATTGTAGCTTTGATAATATTGTAGCTTTCGTGCAATTTCGTAAGTAAATTATCTTGAGATTATTACGACATAAACAAGTATTTGGAATGGATGAATCTAGTCTATGGTTCATCTATATGGTATATATAGACGATATATTTAGTCTTCGGTATGATATATGTAATATTATAACATCCTTACCCCTTTTGCCGCAATACATTTTGGTGCAGTACAAAGTAGAGTCAGCTGAGCAAACGCATCTGTTGCACAGCACTCTGAATGATGTAAATGGCTCACACGGTTCTGAGTTAGCTGAAATAAGTGAGACCGAGTTCTTAGGATATTTCCGTGCATATAAACAGTTTTATGTACGCTACTTTTAAAGAAAAGTAGACTTCGTAAAATGCTTAGATAAACAAACACAAGAACTAGAGTCTAGAGGAAGACTGTTATCGTAACAGACTCCGAAAAAATTCAATACTTAATGCATGTAATTTTTTTTTGGAGTCGATAAAATCGATTAAATTCACAGAATAGAAAAACCATATAAAATGCACTGCAGACTAGGTCGTTTTTTGTGAAATCGATTGATATGGCTGAGCATTGGGTGGTAGCGTATGGCGTGCAGAGGCCTTGGCAAATTTTACAGTTTGATTATTTTAAAATTGTTCTCTTCCCATTGGCAAACGAGCAGGTATATAAATAAATACTATATAGGAAATTAAAAGAGAAGCATCTCTTCGCAAGGCCAAAGAAGCGGTTGGAGAGGGTCTGATGGTCGTCGACGATTAAAGCGGCTTGACGTAGGATGAATATGTAATATATGTGTTCAACTTAATGGAACGTACCTGAAAGATTTTTTGTAATTAACTTTCGTGGTGTTGAAATAAGGTTTAGGGTTAGATATTATCGTTGTAGTTGTGTACCTTAATTACGACTTTCGGTATCAGAAGGATAAATAAACACATTGGCTAGGTAACTCGTATATTGCAAACCCAACGTGACTACGCAAGTGAGTGCATGGCAAGCGACTCCGCCATTGTCTTGCGAGTGCCCGCTGAGTGTCTCCCGAGTTTCCCTCGATGTCTTTGGATAATTTTCATCTTTGAGTAAATAAAATTACAACACTCTGCGCTAATATGCATCAATCTGCCTACGCGCTAAACGTGAAGTCACAATTTGCTTACGCGCCAAACTACTCATGTGTCCCTACAGAGCGATAGAGCAGTTATATTTGAACTATAAACAGAATATTAATAACATCAATTTAAAAAGAGAAGTGGCAAAGAATCAATTTTATGCGGTTAATTTAATGGGAAGTTGTTATTCCATGGATATCTGCAATTGACTCTACTGGTATTGTATTAATATAGAAGAAGAAGAAGAAGAAGAAACTTTTATTCACGGTCTAAAAACAAATGAATATATACAAAACTTAAAAATAATAATGTAACTATACAGAAACTTAAAATAAATGTAAACATAAAAATAAGCAAACAAAATAACAACAGTAAGTGACGGTCTGTGTAGCAGCATAAGACCGTGAAATGGACGGGACTCGGTAAAAGTCGAGATACAGTAACTAGTTCTGATCCCGACACCGGTTTTCAGTCCGGCCCGCACTTCGAGGCAACTCGGACGGCTGCGACAGTGAACTTGCAAAAAATAATACAGCAATACAAAAAATAGCTACAGCGCAGTATAGCGAAAATTAAATTATTTTTGTTTGAACCTTTCATTCATATAGACAGTGGTTATCATTCGTCTGATGAGGTAACTAAAAATTAAAACTAATGTTTGTTTTTTAATATTGGTGTCAGATGCTATATTTCAATTTCGGTTTTAGGTTACCAATGTTTATCCTTACTCTGTGGTACTATGACACTTAACGACTAAGTGGTGGTAACGTGTAATAATTTCAAACATCAAATGCGAGACAAACCTCGTTGCGCGTTGGCCACGTGATAGGTGATGGTAGAAAATGATTGACTTAAAAATAAATGTATGATACAGGTATATACAAATATGAGGTATACAGCGTGTCGTTACCACCGCGACAATAAATGAACACACATATAGAGGATAACTTTTTAAAACTTTTTCTACATATTTTTTTTTTCTACATATTTTAATTGTATTAAACATTTACATTCTTTAAACATCAATATTTACAGAGTTATAAAATTTTCCAAAACAAACAATTTTAGAACACCCTTACGTATAAAACTGTAACGTAAAGTTCATTTGTAAAGGTCACAAAGCATATGAACGGGTTGAATGAATTTAAAAGAGAAAAAACATACTGTTAGAAGGAGAGGCTTGTAATGTGACGCTGTGGCGCGAGTTGTATAGGATGTTACAAATTTTGTTTCTTTTTTACTTAATTAATTTGTTTGAAAAATCTATTTTTTTAAATATGGATTTTGTTTAACGTTAATATTTTTTCATAATTATTGGCAAGTAGCGTTAGACGTGTGTTCATTTATTGTCGCGATGGTAACGACACGCTGTATATTATATTATATTATATCACATCAAATTACATTATATTATATTACATCGATATATATCAATAACTGTCTCTACTGGTATACTTCTGCAATACTAGTTACTGACTCCACTGTTATTGCAGACGTATGCTGGAGGAGCCAATGCAGCCCTTTAAGAGGAGTCTTTCTCTTTAGAAACAGAAAGGAAAACAAGAGTTTAAATAATCCTAACTTACGTCGGTCTACCGTAGATGACTTGGTTGACGCAGTTGCTAAACTATTGGTTTCGCAATGTTTATGTCTTCCATTCTTAAACGAATCGAGTATTTTTTGTGAACAGATAGCTGTTCCGTGGATGTCTAGAGTAGTGAGTAAGATAAAGCTAGGAAATTTTCTTCTTTTTAGTGGGACACTCTTGGCAGTGTTCGTAGCTGTCGATAAACAGGGTTGCGTCTCGTCGTCGCAGGTCACTTCCAAGGGAGCCCTCTCCATTGGAGGCGGCTGTTAGCACTGCGAGCACATTGTACTGCGGTGGCTTTCGTGCGCGTGGGGGATCGACCTCAAGGTTGACACTGGTGGATTCAAGTCGAGCCAGCGGCTCTTTTAAATCTTCTTTTGTTCTTGCCAGAAGCGTTGTACCATCGGCGTATCGTTGATTGTTAATCACTCGCCCTCCAACTGAAACACCTCTAACCCGAGGTGGGAGGTCCAGAACGATTATCATGATGTGCTTGGTATAGGTCTTAAAGAGCAACGGCTACAATAGGTGTATGTCGTCAGTCCCCCAGGAAGTTTTACATTATCACCATTATCTCTTATTAACCGACTTCAAAAAAGAAGAAGGTTTCTGAATTCGACCGTATATATTTTTTTTACGTGTGTTCGCAGATAACTTCGTCGTTTATGAACCGATTTTGATGATCATTTTTTGTTGGAAACGAGATATCCCAAGGGTGGTACCATGATAGCGAAACCCGGATCTTATGATGACATCCCAGAGAAATCGAGAGCAATCCTCAAATGTTACAGGTTCTAATAATGTTTTTTTTTCTTCGGTTTGAAGTCGGTTATTTATTGTTAAAAATTATTACATAATACTATACAGCACAGTATTATGACGTGCTACAGAAAAGGTAATTATTAATAAATATCTGCTCTGTTGTGCTTAATAAAATTGATGCATTAGTTCTTGGTAAACGTAATGTATATTATTATTGTTACGGCTGACAAAGAGTGCCGGTCCATTTCTCGCACAAAGGTGAAACAAACATTCATCCAGGAAACACAGCTGACGTTGTGGCCATTATTCCACGAGAAGTAAGTTTCTTAGTTCTGCTTATTCGTATCATTTAGTATTGTAAATAATATTTACCCTCTTATGCTACAATTGAAAGTCTGTTTGATGTTTACAGAACAACGTTAGTATCCGATTAAGAAGGCGGCGATAAATGAGGATAAATCGATTACGTGGTCAGATATTAGAAATTAAAGTAAGAACTTACATCTCCGCCAGAACAGGAGAAGATCGTCGTCAACGTACTTTAAAGCGGAAGCTGATGCCAGCTGAAAATATCAACCATTTCATCATAAAATTAAAAAAAAAAATACTTTAGTCGAGCGAAATGTTGTAAAGTTCTTTAAATACAACCTAGCACTTGCGAGAAACGATAATGGGTGCTTTTTTATTTTTTAAGCCATTATGTATGGTGTGTGCTTCTTATAAACATGAATTTTTTTCCAGTCTCGGAAAAAAATCGGTGAGAAATACGAGACATTTCATTATTAGACGATTTAATCCACTAAACAGGTTTATATGCCGTATTTCAGAAAATAAAGCGAGGTTATATTTACAAAAATATCATTCTTCAGTCCGTGTTTATCTTGCTAGTAAACAATTGCATCATAACTTTCTGCCAGGCGGCCAGTGTTTCGCAGCGCTGGCCGTTTTAAATAAAATAAAAAGGAAAATATATTTACCATTATCGCGAATGCAAACAATAGGGCAGCTGTTTCGCGGTGCATTTCGTTAAGTCGAGTGGCGGCTACTATTTCGGTGCGTTTCGTGCACGCTTCTAATGGTTGGCGGTGCATCGAGACGTTCGAAAGTAAAATCGGGTGATTACGTTTTTAATGGGTTCGAATTCAGTGATGCGAGTTATTGGCGAGTTTGCTTCGAGTTATTGCGCTGTTACGTTACAATCCTAACAGCACAATAACTCGAATAACACTTAAAGGAAATAAGTAATAGATCTGATAATGCTGTTTGACGTCGTGTTATCGAAAAAAAACATATAGGAATTATAGTTATTTAGTTGGATGAGCTCGCGATTCCATTAGTTTGAACTCTCTATTCAAAAACCTATTTTAAATCGTTGGTCTAAACCTGCCTATTTATGTACGTAGTGTATAATTATTTTATTTATTTAATTTAAAACGACACATTGAATGACACCCGTATATTGATTTTCTCACTTAAGACGTTGAATTTCTTTAACTGTGAACCATATTTGCAAAAAAACACAGTTTTATTGTATCGTCAAAGAGTTTCAATAAAAAAAATCTGCAAAGCAATGTAACAGATAAACAACGCCAAACGCAAACAAACCTAACGCGAGCCATTTCCTGCAACTTAAAGATACAGTAAACGCTTTTTGCTTAATTATCTCAAATAGTCTTAGTTGTAATGAGTAAAGGGTATAATCAAACCGATTTAGTTAAGCGCAATTCTTGACCATGAATGCTGCAAATCGTAGAAAACGAGAGAAGTTTAAGAAATTATCTAATTAAGTTTTTTTTATGTGAAAAGGTAGCAAGCGAGCAGGCGGTTCACGAGATGTTAAGTGATAATCACCTCCTATTGACAATTGTAACACCCATAGGTTTGCAGATGCGTTGCCACCTTTAAATAAAGTGGGTCCCGGCTACCTCACCCACCAGACGACTGCAGAAGTATACACTTCCACTTCACGCTGGTCTTCTGTAAGTTCATGGTACTTACTGGCTTGACTTTGCGAACTAAACAATATACAATGGCTTGGACGATAGCTACTAGCGTTGTTACCTGAGTTATACTTTATTTGAAACCAGTTAATCCAAAGGACAAATCGTGCTGATGAAAATTGTCAAGGTTCTCACGATGTGTAATTGTAAAACGCGAGGAGATGTTTCTTTTATCGCCGTCCTAGTTCCATTTTTATTGCTATTGTATATAATATTTTATTCAGAAGCCTTTTGAGACGGCCTCCTTTGTGACGCCGCCGAGATGAATATTATGGTAGTAAAATATTTTATTTGTCATAAAGCTTTACGTGAATGTCTCTCATCGATTTCGCTTTGACAATACGTCGAGAAGTGGATTTCGTATGAAAAGGTTTTTTCCTCTCACTGAGCGAGGTGAGTTTTCATATCGGTTGTGATATTATTTTAATTTAAAGCCCTAGCGAATTGATCTTTTGTTTTTACTTGTTATAAAATTTTAGTTACATAATCGGAAATTTTCTCTAGTCTATATCTTCAACCATGCATAAAGAGAAATATGACAAAAGAGAATTTGTGTATCCTTCACAAGACGGTAAATAAATCGCAAAAACTTTTCCAAGCTCAAAGATAACTTTAAACTATGAGTTTTGTAACAAGACAGACAGCTTTGTGATGTCTTGTAGAGAGCTTTGTGATACGATAATTCAAAGGCGCTTAAGCTTGAACAAAGCAAGTTTATGCAACGGAATGTGAAAATAAAATGGACGAATATCAAATGCTACACAGAGATGATAAATGTAGAAGATTTTTATCCCTAGTTTGTACGCATGAGTATGCCTAATCGATTAACGGTTCCTCGAGCGAATATATATAACATAATAATATGTACATCAATAATTTACTCTGTCTGAAAGCAATGCTGAACGAGCGGAAAGTATACATAAAACATTTTTATGGAACATAAGTATTTTGACATAATAATTATAATTTACACTTTGAAGGTATTAAATATTTTCGCGGCCATTTTCTTTCGAAATGATGGAAAAAGGAAAAGTGGGTGTAGGAAAATTATTGACTTATAGAAGTCAATAAATAAAAATATTGAAAGCTATAAAGCTTTAAATGACTCCCATTTAAAGCTACGAGTAAAATCACTATTTAGCATATTTAAATTTTTATTACAATGATTTTTAATCTATTTTTCTCCTAAGCATTCCATTTCCATTAATCCCAATCTTATCTCTGTTTTATTTTTCGTGGTGTGAAACTAATTATATTAACTTATTATTATTACAATAATATATCCTATTTGCTATAATTTCCGTGGACATTTCAAAATTATAACTCACAAGTGTGCAGTTTCTAAAGTAAACACGCGTATGTCTATTTTTATACCAAAAACAACAACGAACAAATTCCAACCAATGAATTTAGTACTTCGCTATCACGTTCATTATTTAAAACGGGCCTTGGGCACTTCAGTCAGATATCCGTACTCGAAACAGCTGTCGACCAGTCCGTCCACGCGTTTCTTGATCTCGTCCAGAGTCTGCTCCATCAGATTCTGCATACCGAAACCCTCAACCATTTTCGTCATGTCCGAACTCTCAAAAACGGACATCTGCAGTGCCTCCTGTGTTGGCCTAAGTAGCACATTGAGCATCATAAAGGCCATGCCCAAGTAAGGTTTACCGTACCTCTTCAGGTCGGCGTCAAATTTGTCCCTTGGATATACGTAACTCACTTTGAGTCCGAAATTATTCAAACATCTGTCCAATTCCGAGTGATAGTAGTCAATCCATTCGTAATAATGTTTCGACCTGGTCTTGTAGTCGGTGCAGTTAAATATTAAGTTGTGGATATCGGCAGCTGGTAGACTTTCTTTTGATAGTTGATAATCGATCATTATGCATGCGACGGGCTGGTCTCCCTGAAAAATATTTAAATGTGTTTAATATTCCAAATCGCTAAGCACCTCGCCATAGAGAATGTGACACTAATAACAAAATTAAACGTACAACTAAACACATTTACCTATGGCAATGACACACAATCCAATCAAAGATACGCCTAGACATGTCACCAACTTTATTACCCACGAAACTAATCAAAGATATCATTTTAAATGTTGCCATTGTTTAGAATTGAAATCGGTTTTTTAATTCTGGTACTTTGACCTTACATAGAATGTTTGTAAGTAATATATTATTATAAGTAATAGTTATAACCCGTAAATTGATTTAATTTATTTAGATATTTAGAACAATATTTTTTTTTCCAAATACGTTATTTTATTTTATATGATTCTGCGTGTTTCATTTACTCGGACTTTTTACTTTATGAAGGCACCAACCTGCATTTGGAACATGATATTGTTAGTCCACAAATCACCGTGTTGTATTACGCTGTATTTAGAGCCTCGATCGGCGGTCTGTATATGCATGCCAACTTCAACTAAATGCTGCAATGTATCATTGATGGCGTGAGTATGTCTTTCATTATCAAACACCGCCTTCATGTCGTTCCACGCTGCTTGAAACATCATCTGGCTCTGCGATGCGGTTTCGGGGTTCGTAAAAGCGTTCACCATCGTTGCCGACAATCTATCATACGTCTGCGGCTCTCTATTTTTCAGAACGTATGACATTGAGTGGAAGTTTGCCAAACTGTGTAATACTGCTTTGATGCTGCTGTCACTTAGCGGCTGCCTTTTGTCCAACATAACATAGCCTTTTGAGTCTAGGTCTTCTAGCAGTATTATCTCGTTCTGAGTTTCTGATAGAGTGCCATAGCAATGAGGATATTGCAATCTATCTTCTTCCGGCACGCCAGCGCTCTCCTGTAACTGTCTGAATTTTGGTAATATTTCATTGTACACAACCATCTCGTTGGTAAATAAGTCGTTCTGTTGCTTTGGAACGCCTAAATAGTGATTTGGTGGTGCTATTTTAGCAACCATTTTAAACACTTTGCCATTTTCGAACTCCGCTGAAAACCTCTTCGCATATGAACCATAATTATCGCCAACTTTACCCATAGATGTTACCGCGACTTGTTTTCCTGTATAACCATGTTTTTCTAGCACTTCACTGACAAACTGTAAATGGCGCTGAGATATATTCTCCGTGTCACCAACATATTCGTAAGTGGACATTTTGCGAGCAATTGTAATTTGTTTCTGTGATAAACTCGAGCAGGTACCATTTATTTAAAACTTTATCTGCATATTTATCAATGCGTACATCTGATATGTTTATTGACAGTATATAAATTACTTCTTATCAATGACTCAAATCATTCGGCTCTTTCCTAATAAAGATTTTTAGCAGCTATTAGTCATAATTTAGAATGCTCTGTCCAGTCCACTATTTTTTTTTCCTTATAAGTTTTGGGGCATTCGTGCTCTAGACGCGAAACTGGCAGTCTTGTGCTTGCAAATAATTTATTTTAATTATGTTATTTTAAAACCTTTTATTTAAAAAAAGTTACCCATCAACCACAACGTCTCCTTCCCCTTTAACTTCTAAAGGCTGCAGTTGTAACTGCAGTAGAGGTATGATAAAAAAAATTAAGAAATAGCTACATAGTGTATACATTAATTCATACACTTTGGCGAGAGTCCAACACAATGTCCGGCAAAGCTAATTTATCAATTATATTGCGGTTATAAGTTTTATTGCGAAATAGTTATATCAAAAAATTACTACTTTAAAAAAAGCGAAAAAATCAATAGTACAAGGAAAGATGTAGAGAGAGGCTTCTCGATATCAGTTTTATATTACGTCCGTTCTCGCCTCGCTATCGTGGCTTAATCTGAAAAACCGGCCAAGTCCGAGACTTGCGCACGAAGGGCTCATTCCGTACCGTTATCTATAAAAAGGCAAAATATCATGTTTGTTGTATGGGACCCTTAATTGAACATTTTTATTGTTTTTATAGTATTTGTAGTTATAGCTGCAACAAAAATAAATCGACTGTGAACATTTCAACTGTCTAACTGTCACGGTTCATAAGATACAGCCTGGTGACGGTCGGACAGACAGACAGACAGCGGAGTCTTAGTAATAGGATCCCGTTTGACACTTTGGGTACGGAACCCTAAAAATGTTGTTCTTTTGAAATCTAGCGAGAAACACCTTTAGATCGTCTCATTACTTTTTTTCTGAGAGAAAGTTGCAAGATAGCTGGCGGTTCACCTGATGTTTATTGATAACCCCGAGCGATTGACATCTAAAACACTTGTAGGGTGACAGATATTATGCTACCTTAGATCAAAGTGGGCCCCAGCTACCTCAGTCACCAGTCGAGAGGCTGAAGTATAACAATTTAGCTTCACGCTGGTCTGTTAGGCCGTGTTTCATTCGTGAAGCGTGTACATTCGCGCAGTAGTATACCTCTTTACCTACTTACTGCAGACGGACAACAGACTATATCTACCTAAAAAACCGTCGAGTCATACCCGTTTCATATTATGCCAGACCACGACGAATAAATTATAAACACAACGTACAGAAACAAGTAATGTCACGATATTATTCTGTACTATGCGTAATTAGAAATAAGAATTTAAAATCTCTCCTAAGGAAATTATCAGTTTTCATCAAAATTCATTTGACGCAGAAATTTAACATCTCTCCTAAGGAAATTATCAGTTTCATCAAAATTCATTTGACGCAGAAATTTTAAATCACACTTGTTTAACCTCGTGCCTTCGATTTGTTGAGGAAGTGTTCTAACTTTTAACTAATGTATGTTATACATAATATATAAATGGCTAAGAATTATACTCCCGATCGATTAAGATGACAACTGCTTCGACAATTACGACTGTATACCTCAATGGAACGAAAGAAATACACAAATTTCGGATATCTGTTCTACGCCAAGCTGTCTGGTGCCTCGAGGGCAATCCTTTGATTTGAGAATAGTCCCTCTTGTGAGTTTCCCCAAATTACAACAGTCAAAGAAAATGTTATTCCATTTTGGATGAAGATATAAAAATTTTTTTATTAAATCAACGTGACAATGAGTAAATGTTTTTAAGTTCTCAAACCTATGTGGTTTTGTCTGCTGTACATACTTTCTAGAAGGTAATAAAAATTCACAATCGACTATGTAAACGATTGCTATGACATCTGGTTCGGCCATATGGTGTTGTGCCCGTCACATAAGCTGACAGTTTCACCTAGAAATAAAATATTTAATCTTTTTTCATTGTCCCACAATCAAACTGAATAGTTATTTTATAAGACATGTAACCCCTATTTCTCTCTCAGAGTGATGCCGGACCTCTAGATGCAGGTGATGTCCACTTTACCTGTAGGCTGAAGCAAAAAGTTTTCAAGCATACGTCGAAAAGTCAATTGCCTTTGAGAAGACAAAAATAGTACCAGTTGGCAGGTCTAAGTGTGATGCTGCAGATGTCAGTGTGATAACATTACTGAAGCACTGGTACATTACTATCTTAGAGTCTCTTTCAAAGAACTGAGCGTGGCTATGGAGAGGATTTTAAAAGTCTTGTACAATACTTTTATAAATCTTAGAAACAACGTTCAAGCGAGGAACATTTATTAGTATAACAGTATGGCATGGAAAGTTTACAAATAGAATAGTGTAGGAAGCTAGTTCTTCCTTCATGGTTTTTGAAGTAAAACTTCTTTAGGCGCGACTAGGGAGTAACTCAGATTTTTTCTGACGGAAGTAACATCATAAGTATATGTCATATTTTTAAAATATGACATATTCTTATGACGTTACTAAATATTTAATCATTTCAGGAATCCGTCAACGCCAAAGAAGTTTTACTTCAATCGCGCGTAAAGGTTACACGCACACACTTTATTTTATGTTAGAAAGTGGCAAACGAGCTGGCGGTTCAACGAATGTTAAGTGATAACCGTCTGTCCATGGACATTTGCAACACCTAATAGGGTTGCAGATGCGTTGCCACCTCTTAATAATGTGGGCCCCGGCTACCTCACTTGGAAGGAGTACACAGACGAAACGCAGAAGTGCAACACTTCCACTTTACGCCGGTCTTCTGTGAGGTCGTGGTACTAACCCGGACGGACCTGCCCATTCGTGCAACAGCGAACACTGTTGCGTGGCCCTAACACCGTATATGTACCACCGTTCATGGTTAGCAGTTGCTGACAATAGATATCTGCCGTAATCATTTGGCCAGATTTTAGAAAGACATCGGCGTTAGTCCACCAAACACTCGCAAGTAATTTGTCTGAGTCAATTGTCGTTTAGGCCAGGATTTGGCTGGATCTCCAGGATTCAGCCATTGCTTCCGATTAATCTACAGTATCCACTTTTCATCACAGTAATGATTTGATTTAAAATCCCTTCATTATTGTGTCGTTTGAGCAAAGTAAAACAGTAATCGACGCGTATTTGCAAGTTCGATTCACTCAATTCATGAGGTACCCATCGTTCAAGTTTTTTTTACTTTCCCGATTTGCTATGTGATGGATCCGCTTCTACCATAGCCTTTAACTCTTCATTTTACACTTTGGTCTCCGACCGTCCACGGCGTTGGTTCTGAAGGTCGAAATTTCCAGAACGAAAACGTTGAAACCAAAAACGTACCGTGCTTTCTTGCTACACCAGCGCCGTACAGTACACATTAATCCTTCAAGCTGTTTCTGCAGCACTGGTTCTGCAGAACTCGTAAATATACCGATATTTCATGTTTTCCATTATGACGCCAAAGAATAAAAATAATGAGGAAAAAACAAATGAATGACTATTTTAAAAACACAAATGTACCAGCTAAATTAATTTATAAATTTGAATTTGGAATTCTTAACCAAATAAGAGATATTTCAGATCAAACTGGAAAGTACGAAAAAACGCTAATTTCATATGTAAGGACCTAATACATCTAGGTGAAGACAAATTATTACCGTTGAAAGCCATAATTTTCAAAAGACATTCGATATATCGCGCTCATTCGAGGTTATTGAAGTTTTTATGATAAAATTGAGATTTTTAAAAACAACTTGACACTGGCGGAATTGATAACTCACAAAAATAAGAAATATAAAAAAAAAAGACGAAGAAGTTTCTATTCAGATATAAAACGTAATAATTAGCGTCGGTCAAATAGAACGTAACCACTATGCGTTGGTCATCTGTTGGTTACCCATTATGTAAATTCTCTGTCTACTGAATTGTATTTATATTCATCGTATAATTTTTTTACGAATCCAAATGATTTTAACACAGAAGAAAAATCGAAGCGAGTAAAAACTTTAAGTCAATTCTTTTACGATACAATAATTCGGAATACGAGTCGAATTTATAATCATTTGTTAATTTCAATCGATTCAACGTTCAAAACGGCATCGGGTCTATATTTCAATCCAAACGCTGAGGTCACTCAACGGAACACCTTTATGATATGTCTGCGGCTAACGCATGAATGCTTACGGGTATTACGGGTGATTACGGTCTACAAGAAGAGAAATATAACGTCCCGTACGTTACATTTCTCCCAATTCGCTAATTAAAATTTTGCCCTAAATTAACGAATTTTGCCCTAAACAAAGTCAAAGGGTCTATATAAAGGGTCGTCCATTATGACTTTGTTGTTGAGTTCGCGCGGCGAAGACCGATTTTTATGGGGGCATGCCCTAACCGTGTCCAAAAACTAGATATTGGCATTCTAAAGAACTTAAGGTCTAGTTTTATTATATTTAAAACTGTAGATTTTTGTTGATTCAGCGACAAAAATAATGTTTTCTTTGCAAAACTCCCATATTTTTATATAAATATATATGTCAATATTTCTATGTCACTTTGCAAATGATAAATTTTATGAGAATAAAAAAATATGTTAATAAATTGTTTCAGGCGTACTACACGCAGTTACGAATAGTAAAAGTAAAAGTTAGTATGAATAGTTTCAATCAATAACATTATAACATAGTAAAATTTGTCATATACATGATACTTGATTTTTTAAAATAAAATTTATTCAGTCATAAACCACTTTAACTGCTTTAATTTCTCAACTGTATCTACCAATGGATTTTTTTATAAGGGATACTTGAAATATGAATTTAATGGACTATTTGTGACAGAAGGACTATTGGACTATTGGATCACACTACCTGTTATACTTATTACTGCTTATTGAAAAATCTA